CATAAACCGATTGCACAACATACACAATATAAAATATTTAAAGTTGTCCATCCAACTGAAACGTGTGGGATTAAAGCCCTCAAAGTAAAGAGTTAAATGAAGGGTGTTTTAAATGCACAATAAGTCAATGTATGCTTAAATGAAAAGTGTAATTGCAGGTTTCTTTAAGATATTCTTAATTGATATGGAAAAAAATGGTTTCTTCTGAAAATTTCAGATAAATGGTTTTAATTTAAAGGTTGTTGTTTGGCAGTAAAAATTTTAAACTCATACCAAAGTCGCTTGTAATCCAAACGGTTGTGATACCCCTGATAAAGGTAGGCTTTAGTTAGATGGATAGAGATAGCCACATTAAAAGGTTTGATCTTTTAAATGGTTCGAAATAGAACCTGGAATAGGTTAGCTTTAATTACATTGAGTTTTATACCTACACAACGATCTATTTTGAATACCTCTATTCACGTTAATTTTCAAGTAAGTCGGTAAACTATTTTAATGAGAATTTATATTTTACTTGAACTTGTGACATAAGAATCGTTCAAACGTTAAGTTTGTGTAAGCCGTTTTAACAGACAATTGGAAGTCGCTCAAAGCCTTCTGACTCATTCGAACGAAGTGGCTGCATTGTCAAGATATATAATTCCTGGTATATGTGTGGCGGCATGCAAATTTGGATTCATATTTTTGCAACTTTATTTTAGTTTTAATTGCGCGCACGCAATAATTTTCCTTGATGGCGCATCAACGTCAAGGCGAATCGGTCGCCAACGCTCCATCCATCATAAAAAGGCAGCTCAGCGGCGAGTTGGGGGTTCGGGAGGAGAAGACTCTTTGATTATGAGCGCGTGCGCACAATCAGACACAAAATTCACAAATTCACGGAGGGACTGGGCTGACTGGACAGGACAGGGCAGCCAGAGATTCACCCAGTTGGGACCGGCCCGATTGTCATGCAGGGGAGCATCGGCCATAAAAACGATTCTGCGATTCCCTCTGTGTGTTGGCCAAATGGCGTCTTGCGCCTTGTTTTGCATGCTGCGCTCGTTAAGAACGCCACCGAGAACAATGCAGCAGCAGCAGCAGTGGGAGCAGTACACTGGGAATAAAATCAGAGAGTGTTAGAAGTAACAAACAAGTGAAAGCGATATGGGCTGTTTAACAGATATCACCAACACGGCACATAACGTGAAACCTAGGTGGCACTAGTGAAATTTCGTAAGCAGCCGATTTTCTGTATCAATATGTCTCCATCCCTCTCGCACTCTGTAAAGTTTGATAATTAATAATTATTATTTGGTTATAACTTTTTAATGAATGGTCCGATTTCAATAATTTTTGGGATGTCAATGAGAATTGATAATAAGAAAAAAATCTCATTTAAATTTTAACAAAATATTTAAAAATGTGGGCGCTAGACGGGTTTTAGCGTTATGGGCGATTGTGGGCGGTAGAGTGGGCGTGGCACTCTGCTGGAACAAACTTGCAATGCGCAAGAAGCCCAAGCACGAACATGTTATAAGCACCTAAAACATGGTATTGCATACTTTTCGGTATCTTTAAAAGTGATGTAAAAACTCTAGAGATGAAAATACCCCTTTGAGTTTTAAAGTGAAAATGCACATATTAAACAAAAAACTAATAATTAAAAAATCAAATATTTTTAAAATTTTGTAAATTCATTTCATTATCAAAATGTGTTTGCAATTTTGGACGTTATTATTCTTTGAGTGTAGGCACAGCAAGTCCACAGTACTTAACCAACTGGTGTCCAGTAATGGGCTTAGCCCAAGTCAACCCCCCTCGCCAACCGAAAACGCTGCGGTTTATAATGACGTCTCGGGCAAAATAAGAATTGAGTCAAAGCCGCGACCTGCATATTGATTTGGCATGGATTAACAAACCTGACTCTCCTTCTCCACGGGCCAAGCCATATCGCCAAGAATGCGCGAGACGTTGCCTACTCATGACAATGCAATCCATTCTTATATAAATATTCATTTTATTTCACAGATCTACAAGCCACAGGTGCCTACTTAAAAGCCAAGACCAGTAGTTGCAAAGATCAAATCGATTTGCTGTGGACCTTGATGGTCAAAAGAGTTGATCTTCCAACTACGTATTACAGAAAGCAAGAACGACTTGTGGAATAATGGGAATTTATACCTAATAGTCCACCCTATTAAAGTGTAAGTTAGAAAAGAAATTGCACCATCTGGATAATAAGAGAAATATTATTTTATGCCAGACTGTGAATTTAACCCTTTAGAACCGTTTCTTTATTGCGTAGTTAAGGCACCATCTTCAATGAAGCAAAGGAATTTATTGATTTCATACTACAAATTGTACACAAGAGTATTTAAACTTGTCCATTTTTAAGGAATCAAATATTAATCTGGTAATACATCAAGGAATGCATGTAATTAAAGGCAAAGTTATTTAAAACGTTTTTAATTTGGCAACAAACAAAATTTTTTTTTACATAAATTAAATCTAATCAATCGACTTTTTCCCATCGAATAATAGTTTGGTTCAAAATCACACGCAAAAAACACAAGTTCAAGTTGTAGTATCTGTCCCAAAAGCAGATATCATTTCTTATTGACTTCTTTTGGACCAAATCCATCACAATTCTCTTTAAAAATTTTACTAGTCTCTTTGTGTTAGCACAGCTCTTTTTTCTAGCTCTTAGCCCAAAAAAGAAGAAAATCAGGCAAAAAGCAGAAACAAATTTAATTTGTTTGTTTTACTAATCAGCGGCACGTACTCGCACGTTTTTTGCGTCAAAGTCTTTAGTGCGGTCTTTAGCTGAATTGTGTTCGCAGTCGTTGGCCATATCGGTGCTCTTGTTGTTGCTGTTATTGGACGGTCTTCTGGCCAGGTCGGGTGTATTGGCTGCCGTTTGGTTAAACAGCCCACGTTTAAACATGGCTCAGAGCGTGCTAATCAAGTGGCTCCGAAACCAAAATTACGCGACCGACTGAGCAAACGCAGCTTCGGCTTTGTCTCGTTTTTCATATCATTCTAATACGCTTTCTGGGGCATCTATCATTTTGGAAAAAAATTTAAGTAATGAAAAATAGTCAATAAAATAAATTTATATGTCAGCAACAAACCGTTTTTTAAATGTTTTAAAATTAGTTGTATAACACCACATTTTTCTAAGTAGAGCAAGCGAAAAATTGTTTAATCAATAACGTCAAATTTATAATTTAGAGGGTTATAGGTTTGATGAAATTAAATGATTTGGTTATGAAAATTTAGCTAATACTCCTTTTTGGAAAGGGTATTAAGTAATCAGCCTGTAAAAGTTGACTAGTTCCCCATTTTTTGTGATTGACTTTTGTTTTTATGTTATTTGGTCGCATTGCGTTGAAGTTGGTTTTGGATTTGGTTTTGGCTTTGGTCTCCGCTGAGCTTGGGCTTTGGGATTTGGGGCTAGGGCTGGGCCGTCGGTTGGGTACGCTTTGATGGCTTCTAGGTGAAGGTCATTGTGTGACTGAAATGTTAAGTTGACTGCCTGTCATACTTATATGGCGGAGTGCTTGGGCCATTTAAGTTTTACTTTTTATGACAGTTGCTAAGGTTCTACATACTTAGAAGAAAACATGCGAGCCGGTATTTATGTGGGTCTAGAATCCACTGGCCAAAAGAATGCTGAAACTCTTAAACGGCTGGCGCAGTTAAAGAAAAGTATGCATTTCAATTAGATGTCATTACCGAAACTGCCTGAAAAACTTATCAAGTCAAGTAAGCTTGGACAAAAAAAATAATTCATTTTTCTAAAAAATTTGAAGTTTAAGGTGGTACAAGCCTTATAAAGTGGTATAAATATATTGGCTAGCAATTCATAATAAAGATATAACTAGTTTAGTAATCTAATAAGCACAGGCAACCCTATGTAAATTGCAATATTTGAAATTAAACATCGATTTTATATTCATTTTTAAATTTTTAATAATAATAAAACAACAAATAGAACAAAATGGAAAGTGCTGAAAGTCAGTGAATTCGATCTGCGAAAAGCTAACGCTGACTTACATGGCGCAGTCTCAGACTCCAGGGACGATGATGCAAATGTGCGACATATTTGCAGACAAGTCCGCGTTCAATTCAGTGGATGGGTGGTGCTCCTGGGAGGATAATGAGCTGCAGCCCCGTGAATCGAGTCTGGTGGCCCACCTAATGGCCTTGTTCGCATGGTGGTTGGGAGGTTGGATGCTGCAGCTTCAGCAGCGATTCAGCACCGTTTTGCTGATGCGGCACACTCCAAAGCCATAAAAGGGCATTAGCCTCGTGAGTAGATTGCATGTTTTTACCAGGGGTTTTCGTGAATGGGTGGCTGTACGGGTGGAAAATGGGCTTGGGGTTGCGAGTAGCTGTGAGCGCGGGCTTTGGAAAATTGAATAAAGTGCCGCAGGAGCCAGAGGGGGATTGAAGCAACGAGGCGGAGTGAAGTGCTCGATGTTCGTAGCCAAGTCATTTAAGGGTTGCCGGCAGCATCCAGCATCGGCCTACTAGGGAGTTGCAGCTACAGTCGCTCTGCGAAATCTAGAATGCTTATAGCTAGGACTAAGTCTTATATCATTGTTATAGAGTCTCTTTAAAAGTTGTAAGCAGTAAAGTAGTTCTCTCTGTGCCTAATAAGAATTTTATAACCTAATCTTAATGCCCTTTGAACCTTATTTACACCTGCCAATCAAGTAATTGATGATTGCACAGACCAACAATTTGCTTTAGAGATATATCAATTACTGGAAATTAATCGTAGACTTATTTGCATGACTGTTGAGCCGCAAGTGACTACATGTCGTATGCGCTATGTTTGATTTGGCTTGGCCTGTGATGACTCAGACCCAGTGCGGATTATTGCACCGCCCAACGCATAAATATGAATGAGGAAATCCAAGCAATTTGCAACTTGGGCTTAGCCCGGACTGGATTTTCCAGAATTCAACTGAACTATTACTGACCGATACGGTTCGTATAAAAGGAAAGAAATTACAACTAGAAGTGCAGTTGCCCGCAGATAATTGAACACAATGAAGAGGCACATTATTCCGCTTCTGCTCCTACTTGGCATCCTCTGTGCAGCTCTAGTCGCTGGCCATCCGCACGACCTTATTGGATCTACCGACGATCCTAACTATGATGTCTTGGAGGAGTCTGGCAGCGGTTACAACAGTGCTGAAGAGTTCATGAACGCCATGGACGAGCTAATCAGACGTTGGCAGGAGTCCGACGCAGCTCAAGAGAACTCAACCGACTACTCAAGTCTTGACTACGATGAGACAACCTTGGATTCAACAGATTTTGTTACCGAACCGGTGACTTAGTACAATAAATTTTGTTTAATAACTTATTGATTGCCTAAAATAATAATTTATCTGTCCCTATTTCTTGTACATTGATGAATACTAAAACATTGTGATAGCTAGTAAGTATATACAATGTAAATATCTTTTAAGAAAAAGCCTTCAAATAGTACAATATTAAAACAATACTTTTTAACACAATTTCCACATATCTGACTTTGTTTAAAATTAAATGAGTAATCATTAAGCCAAATATATATTCAGTTTCCGTAAGAACTTAAAAGAAATAAAAATGTATTATTTAAATTAAAATTTGTACTCAGAAGAATGTTTCTCAGCGCTTCAGAAGTACTTCACAGAATAATTCCGTATGCGGTTCAAATGTACAGGGAAAACATCCAAAAATTGTTTTCTCTGTAGTTGCACTTGCAGTCAGAACCTCGCTCAAGATATCAATTTATTTTGTGGTAAACAAGCACAGTGCGTTGTTAACGAAAGCTGGAATTTCCCACACTCACCTCAATCAATACGTGTATAACCTCTGTCCATAAAATACCAAGCACATTTAGAACTGCAGATAACCCAGGGCAAGGCTATAAAAACGAAGCTCGGAAGCCGACTGACATTCAGTCAACTGCAGCCAGCGCTAATCGAAACAAAATGCAAACCATTCTCCGCCTTTGGTTGCTGCTTGGATTAATCTATACTGCGATCGGTGCATCGGGAATATTTCAGAGTATAAACATAGGTGGCGCCGGAGGAGGACTAACCAGATCTTCAGGTAGCAACGATGACTGGAGCGATAGCGTCCACAACGCTGATGTCGATAGGGCCCTGAAGCTACTGGAAACACTGGATAACAGCGGCAATGATAGAAACAACTGGGGAAACGATGCCGCTAGTACTTCTGGATTTGATGCCGATAGACTTAGGGATGAGTCCAGAGAGGACGCTCGCGTTTTCCAATTAATTAACTTAGGTTAACTTGCCGGATCCTGAAATATTACTATTTCAAAATGCTAACTTTTCTTAGAAAACTAACGAAGGGTAGAAAATGTATGGGATGCATAGTAATTAAATAATTAATCACTAACTGTCGGTATACTTATGTATACATTTCTGTAATATACGTATGAGTATAATTGGAAGATGGTTTTATTTTCAAGGGTACATAAGCTTCGGCTTGGAAATGTTAATTAAAAAGCATGTAAAAGGGACATTAGTGATTTCATCTGTTAGAAATACCTGAATTGCTAAGCCAAAAACCTTGACCCATTTCCCATTCAGTTAAACTTTTGCCATAATTTAGAACATACAACTTTTACTTTCTATTAAATACAGCGCTCCACTCTAAATGTTTTTAATCGAACGGCTTATGCTAATTAGATGAATAATAATCAGAAAAAACGAAACCAATTTTGAGCTAGAATACTATGATGATGAAAACATAAATTAGCATATTCATGCGATTTTATGGTCGAACCAACGTTCTGTGTTAATTGCCGAAGTTCAGTCTTCGGCCATAGCGTTAACCAGTTATACATAACTCCACACAGCTAATGGAAGGCTATATTGGGAAATTAAACCGATTTCCGCATCATGAATTCATATCAGTGCTAATCAGCAAATGTTACACAAGACTTAAGAAACTGTATAAACCAAAAACATATTCGTTTGGAGTCTGTTTGGAATTTGTGTCTTACATCAGATTAAAAAACAGGAATAAAGGAAAATGTATTTCTAAGTTAACAATGAATCCAAATTTAACTGCCCATATTAAATCGTAATCTCGGTCCCGACAAATCAATCAAAACAAACATCGAATGAAACAATCAATTATTTCAATTGCAATGCAATTACTATGCAAATTCCCTTGCCACACACGAATGTATGTACGACAGAATTCGTATAATTAAACAATTTCACGTTTAAATTTTGACTTAAATTTAAATGATTGCTTTTGCTAATTATTTGCCCAGTCACCACAACAAAAGCGAATTGGAGGTGTAAATAATGTAAGCCACACAACTGTGCTGTGTTTTTGCCACAGGACGAACAGCAGCTCTCTGTTTTTAAATTTCAATTAAATTTAAATGTTTTCGCTCATTAAATTCCCCCCTTTTCCGTCGGCGAGTTTTTGCTAGCACTTTAAATGCATACCATTATGATTTTAATTGAGGATTAAATCCCTTGAGGTAAACAAACAGACAAACAGCCGAAGGATGTAAATTTCCAGGGGGGAATAATCATAAAAAACCCGCACGAGTCGCGGTAAGTGGAAAGTGTTACTAAAGACATTAAAAACGGAGGAAGGAAAGTTGAACGTAAAATAATTTAAAGTGTATGTATGTCAGCTGGCGGCTATGAAGTGTCAGTGTCAACACAATTGCCCTTTGAATTGGATTTAAGGCCCGATTAAGCAAACGCAACGTGGCCAAAGTTACATTTTCTCTATTTCCTCAGGGGGACCCAAGAACGGAACGAGATAAGCCAGCCATAAAAAGGGCGGAATTGAAAGAAATGAACACTAAACACTCGAAATATGAACTGAAGATACAGACGGCGGCAACCTTAAAGTAACCCCGAGAGCCAAAGACACTCGGAGTTAAAGCTGCTCGGAATCGGATTCGGATTGGGTTCCACTTCCAATTCAGCAGCATCAGCAGAGCTTTTTACGCACCCAACTGATTAAATTTATTTATTATGTCACTCTCTGTCTGTGACTCACTGGATAGATGGAGTCCCTCCTCGAAGGGCTCACTCATCGGTCTGTTCTAGCTCTTAAGACCCATAATGGCAGAGCAATCGTTGGCTTAAGTCCCCCTTTCTTATCGATGGGGGCAAATTGAATTTGGACTGCTGCTTATCAGCCATTTGTTTACTTCCTTATCGGGTATCCCAAATCTCTGCAAATGATACAAGATACGGCGGCTCTTGAGCCAAATACTTCACAGATAACAAAAGTGGAGCCAAGGAGGAGTATCGAAAACGAGGTACGTGTTTCGAGAGCACTTTCCCTCTGGGGAAAACTGCAGTCGACTTGTAAAATAAAAAGATTCAGGTCTCGTCGGCTTACGTGGTTACTTTGGGTTATTTGGATTGGTCTTTCGGGTTTTTCCTTTCATTATCAATATATTCCCAATTTTTATATTTACTGGTCTTAGGGGTTCGATTATTGCCAATGGCATTAACCCCCTGGCTGGGGATTCTGCCATCGATTGCTGGCCACAATTAATTACCACATTCGAGCAAAACAAATTCTGCATTTACCTGTTTTTCCTCTTTTGCATTCGCCCAGACAATTAACAGGCAGCTTGCTGGTTGCTGGTTGTTGTTTGTGTTGCCCCTCTGCGCTTAACAAATGCAAAAATAATTATAATTAATGCAGAGTTTTTGGCCTTGAACTTGCATAACCTGCTGTAGCGCTCTTTCCCCCCTCCCTTCGACGAAATTACTTTGTCGCTTGGTGTTCTGCTTTTTGGCCTGGCCAACAAAATCGTCATCGGCATTGTCATGACCAGCTCGTGGGTGAGTCCCACCAAACAAATTTCGCATTCATATTTGTTTAGCCGTAGCCAAAAAAAATGAACGCCGCTTAGCATTTAAATATTTTCAGCTTCGGTGGGCAGCGCAATGCAACTGCAAAAAAGCGCTAACGAGGGGGGGAGGTCGATTGTAGATTGGAAAATTCAAATTCAAATAGTTAGCTCCATCTCTCTGCCCCCCGCCACCTCATCTGCCCGGTTGTCTGGCCAAGTTCAAGGTAAACATTTGCCTCGAAACTTGGCGATTTTCTGTGGAAACATCCAACGAGCCATATACGATCTCCCGCTTATTACTCACCTTTGACAAGGCTCAAAACAATCGCGAGTATTAGCCTGACTCAGAATTCGGGGCGGGAAAGGGGCGGCGGACCAGTCAAGTGCAGCCAGCTCAGCTCATCGGAGAACGCCCACGGGGAAAGGCGGGAGCGCATTCACTCAGCCAGCTAATTAATAACTCAGCCGAGCCAGGGCACTAAATCATACTATGTAAAGGGGATTCGAGTATTTCGTAGATAGGTTATGGGCTAAAACCCATTCGTATCACTAAAAGCCAACTCGTTTTACCTAATAATTGAAATTATAGATAGTGAAAGTGTGTGGTGTTTTTGGATGCTGTCATTAAGATGTGAAGATGAATGTAAGTTGACCTTTTATATCTTTTTCTATACAGTTGAGTGTGGCAGTTTTTGAAAGAACAAGTTAATCTGTTTCAGAGGAATAGCCATTGGATGGCCCCTAATCTAACATATTAGAAAATCTTGAGAAGAATGATGCCTGAATTTAATTAATATTCTTATAGGTTCAAAAACTAACAGCTAAATCTAAGTATATGGGGAATAAAAACTCTATTAATAGGTTCTGCGCCTAATTGGAAACAAATAGCAAAGATCTAAGTCGTAACCGCAGAATTCCTTCTGTTCTATGCACCACTGACCCACTTTCCTCATGAATATGGCGCCTTCTTTTTCGCCTGGGGGGCAAAGAGTCAGCACCTCTGCCCCCTCATATTCCTCCATTATCATCCCATATTTGCCCCGCCAGTTCAGTTCTTATGCAACATTGGAAGATGCAATTCTTTCAGTTTGCTCTCGGTTCCTCGGTTCTGCGCTCTTTGCTGGCGGCAATTTTATTGCTAAATTAAGTAATTGGTCCAAGAAGCCGCCTCCACACCATCCCCTCCCCGCGACTGCCCTGCATTCGCTTTGGATTCTGCAATCTAAATGTTCTGCTGGGTTTGCCTTTGTGCGGGCATATGTATCTGTATCTGAGTATCTGTATCTATTAGACCGCCGGCGGCCTCGTATCTGCATCTGGGCATCGGAATCGCGGGGCGGCACACAATGAGAAGCGCGCTCTGTGCTCTTCTTTGGTATTCCACTTCTGCTTTCATTGCGAATGTGTTTTGCAGATGCAATTGGAGGAGCTGGGGCAACAGGGCGCATACTGAATGCGGCAGAACCGAGGCAGAAACCAAAATAATGCAAATATACGAAAAGAAAATGAAGTCAAAGGGGCCAGGCCAAAGCAAGCACTCAACATGCGAGTGTGGGTTGCGCAATCTTGCAGATACTACTGAGCAAATGGTCTCGCTTCCGCTGCTTGCACTCTGAAGATTCTTTTGGGGCATCGTTCTTATTACACACACAAATATGTACATTTATTCGCATCGAAAGCCGAAACCAAATTCAAAGAAAACTGAAGCTGAACCGAAACTTTTTATGGCATCCAAATGGCCAGACGTAAAATGGCATTACGAATTAATAAATAACACAATCCGGGCACGAGGGGGCGAGGCCATAAAATGAAGCACGCAAAGCAGATGAACTGAAATTCCAAGGTCGCTGGCAAAAGAACTTTTTGTTAGCATGTTTATGAAGATTTCTGAGTTTACTTTTTGATGGTGCTGCTCATTTGTCGGTTCTCCTCGGTTTGTTTAAAGAAGAATTAGTCGGCCGATCGACGGAAGCCGTCGCTTGGGAACTGGAATTTCGGGACTCGAGCCGAGCTGAGTTCAGCTGAGTTGAGTTGAGAGAGTTGGGTAAATGGAGTCGCAGGTAATGCGACAAATGAAAGGAAAAAGCACCGACGAAAAAGTTTAATTTCAGTGCTAATTAAAGACGCCGAATCGAAGCCAGCTCAGAGTGCTGTATACACAGATGTCTGTGCACATTTAGCCAACTGAATTTATGTGCACGGCTTTCTTTGAATTGCGCAGCAGCCAAGATCTCCGGATTCGTTCTGGAATTGGGTTCGTCACCGGCACTTGGGCTGCTGAGCCCTGGCCTTGACCCCAATGATATCAGAAAGCCATAGCTCCCGCACCCTGCGCGAGTTCTATAAAAAGCACAATCGAAACATCAGTTAAGACTAATTGAGTTTGGCTAAAATTGGTCAAAATGCGCAGCAAGACAAGAGCATCTACCAATTCAATCCAATCCAATCCGAGATTCGCCTCAACGAATCCATCAACGACAAGCAGCTCGCGACTGCTCGATGACTGCTGCAAAAAGTCACCTTTTGGCACCTATGTATATCTACCTGCCGGATGACATCACCGCCGGCGACGA